GCTCTTGCTGCCGTCTTTGGGAATATGCCTTGGTCTGATATTCGGGCGCGGGGATTTTGGCGGTCGAACAGGGTCCTGGCTGCTCGTTACCTTGTGAATGTACCTGGGCCTCGTCGGGCCTGTGTTGCTTTGGGTCGGCGGTTGCAGCCAGTTGTCTCGGCTTCGAGTTGAGGGGTGAGCGACGACCGCCTCCCGGGTAAGTCCCTCTTTTTCTGTCTGTGGGTAGTTAGCTCCGGGGAGCCGACGGGGCTCCCCCCAGAAAACCAGCGTTGAATGTAATGAAACGCCATTTTCTGGGTGAGTCCCGGAGGCTCTCCGGCATCCCTCCCTCCCTCCGGTCGGCGTTTTTTCGCGTTTTTGACATCCAGCCTCAAGAACTGAGGTGTGGGTAGCCGGCGCGGGGGGTCTGGGGCTCCCCCTTCCCCCTCCCGGGGACAGGGGAGCTGCGCAGACAGCGGCGCGGCGGTGTGTGACGTCACACTAGTTTGCTTGTTTTCGGTTGGGGAGTTCTATCCACTAGTTCGGTTTTTGGTAGCAATTTTAACCAGAATAGGGGTTTGTTTTGGGGCGCTTACCTTTCTGGGTGCCTGTTCCGGTCGATGGCAGACATAGAATGCTTCCAACTACACGGGGGCTTCTATAGGCCATTGCTCCCCTTGCCTCTCTGAGGGGGCCCGGTTCTGGCCGTGGTCCCCGGTAGGCCTACGAACTCCATACACATGACTGATGCCAAAGTCTGACATTAGCATATCAGCCTGGGATAGCTCCGGGGAGCCTCCGGGACTCACCCAGAAAATGGCGTTTCATTACATTCAACGCTGGTTTTTTGGGGGTACGAATGGGAGTACATCGTACATGAAAACATAGAACATACTAACAGGGGTGCTTGCAGCAGGCCCATTGGCCCATACGTAGCAGCTCTTGTTCCTAACCTCTCGATTCAAACATCAGAACACAAGTGACTGCAGGCCTCCTCTTGGCCCATACGAGGTGGCTCCTGACTATGCCCATCCAGTCCCTCTCCTATGCATGTCCACCCATGCTTGAGTTTCGGGGCCCCACCTCCACCGTGTTCCAAGGTGCAAAGGTGGAGGTGCCTGATACATGGTACATGGAGGTACATGTTCCTGTGTTGAGGGTGTTATGTGGTGACGTTTTGCTGCGGTTGCGTGTTGGGGGTATGATTGTGGCGTTTTGTTCGGCCCTTCCGTGCTTCTTCCTGGGGCCTACCTTGTTTGTGTTTTTTGTTCCCATGATTTTCTGGGTCTCTCATTCCTTGCCGGTCTTGCTGTACCAGGCTTAGCTTTTCCATGTACATTGAATTCTCTGTACTTCCCTAGTGGTCCTCATTTAGTTGTGCTTACTGGGGATTAGCTTTGGCTCTTAGTTCTGCCTCTCGCCTGTCATTCGACTTCTTAACAGGTTCTTGAGCCTTCTAGGCTCTCTTATCTGCACTTGGCACTGGGTGTGGGGTTGGCACTGGGTGTGGGGTTGGCCTCTGCCACATCCCTTCCTCATGCATTCCTATTGTCTCCTACTGAATCTGGTATGCTTCTTCTCTCTCTTCTACCGCTCATTTGGGCGTTCTGTTCCACATGTTTTCCCCGTTACGTGTGCCCCATGTGTTCCTTGGCTTGTATTTCTCTACCTTGTCGCTTCCTCTGAGGATTTTGCTTGTTGTGGTGGTCTCCTCTGGATTTAAAATCTCCTGATGACGCGTTGGGACATGTCCAGCGGCTTTTGGTGTTGGTCCTGTCCCTTCATTCCCGTTTGCTGCCTACCTTCCTTGTTCCTCGGCTTCCTTTGTGTGTTGCACGTTGTGTGTTTTGTTTGTGCCTTTTGGCTCTCCTATTGCCTGGTTTCGATTCTGGTTCGTGGCTTTCCCGGCCTGTTTGCATTTTTGGAGTCTCGCGGTTTCCCTTCTCTGGAATCTGTCGGGGTCTTGGTCTCCAACCACTTGGCGGCTCGCTGGCATTGTGATGTTTTTCAGTTCGGCAGACGTTCCATCTCCTTCTTTGCCGTCTCGGGTTTCCGGTTCTGCCTGCTCGGTGGTCTCACCCGAGGTCTTCCTGCGGCTCCGCCTCTTCCTCAGCTCGTTCAGCTCTGCCTCGAGTCTCGCCTTCTGTTGGTGTTCAGGTGGCTTCGTTGCTGGTGTCCCACCTGCATGCTACTTCTTGGCGGTCCTTTTCCTTCTGTCCCTTCTTAGGTGGCTGTGTTTTGTTGGCGTTGTCTTGTTCCTCTCTTGTAGGGGTTCAAGGCCGTCGTTTTGCCGCATACTGTCTCCTCGTATCGCGCGGAGCCGCTTCCATTCGGTATTGTTACTTCTAAGCTGTTCCACAAGCTGTCTTGTGCTTTTTTTCACCTCTGGCCTGCTCATGCACCACCTGTGCCATCCTGGTCATTGGACAGTGTTCTTTTCTTTCTTCTCCTCGGTTTATGGTGGCCCCTCCGGTTCTGGTTTTCTGCTCCTTTGGTCAGGGCGGTAGGTTTATTCGTCTGCAGCCATCTCCTTATCTGGCAAAGATTGAGACTGCTGCTTTCCGGAGGGGTCCTTGGGTTTTTGATGCATGGTTGGTTAGGCCATGGGTACATCGTGCTTTGTGGCCCGTGGCGGTTCTTCGCTGTTATTTGTGCGCCTTGGCTTCTGTGTCCGTGGACGAGTTTTGGGTTGCTCCAGTTTCCCTTCTTCCCTGCTCACGGGTGCGGGTTTCCCAGGTCGTCCGCAGGATTCTTACAGCTAGCCAGTCTGCGGTCTATCCCCGTGTTCGTGATGTTTGTAAGTTCGCGGCTCTTGCCGCCATCTTTGGCAACTTGATCTGGTTTGACATTCAGGCGCAGGGATTTTTGGTGGTCAAACAGGGTCCTGGCTGCTCATTATCTCGTACACGTTCCTGGGCCTAGCTGGGCCTGTTTCGCCTTGGGTTGGTGGTTGCAGCCAGTTGTCTGTTTTGAGTTGCTGAGTGAGCAGTGACCACCTCCTGAATGAGTCCCTCTATTTTCCTCTGTGAGTAGTTAGCTCCAGGGAGCCGATGGGTCTCCCCCCAGAAAACCAGCGTTGAATGTAATGAAACGCCATTTTCTGGGTGTGACCTGGAGGCTCCCTGGCATCCCTCCCCTCCCCTCCCTCCCTCCCCTCCCCTCCCTCCCTCCCTCCCCTCCCTCCCTCCCCTCCCTCCCTCCGGTTGGCGGTTTTCGCGTTTTAGACATCCAGTCGATCCACACCCCATGAACTGGGGTGTGGATCACCGGCATGGGGGTCTGGGGCTCCCCATTTCCCCTCCCGGGGAGGGGAGAACTGCGCAGATAGTGGCGCGGTGACATGTGACGTCATGCTAGTTTGCTCGTTTCTTTTTGGGGAGTTCTATCCACTAGCAGGCGATGAGTCACAATAACGTGGCGGAAGTAGTTTGACCAGACCACACACTAGAACGTGAAGGGACGACGACGTTTCGGTCCGTCCTGGACCATTCTCAAGTCGATTGTGAGAATCGACTTGAGACTGGTCCAGGACGAACCAAAACGTCTTCATTCCATCACTTTCTAGTGTGTGGTCTGGTCAAACTTTCTATCCACTAGTTCGGCGTTAGGTAGCAATTTTAACCAGAATAAGGGTTTGTTTTGGGACCTTTGCCATTCTCGGTGCCCGACTTGGTCGATGGCAGACATAGAATGCTTCCAACTACACGGGGAATTCTATAGGCCATTGCTCCCCTTGCCTCTCTGAGGGGGCCAGGTTCTAGCTCGTGGTCCCCGGTAGGCCCACAACTCCATACACATGACTGATGCCAAAGTCTGACATTAGCATATCAGCCTGTATAGCTCCGGGGAGCCTCCGGGTCACACCCAGAAAATAGCATTTCATTACATTCAACGCTGGTTTTTTGAGATATTCCATGAATGTTCTAACTTTGATTAGTCTGTCTTTATTGTCTTTGGGAATGGCATTATTGTTATAGGTATGAAAATACATTCCAATCAATTTGTATTGTTTCAACATCATAAAAGTATTGCAACAAGGTACGTGCCACATTTTACCTGGTTTGCCAATACATTCTCACCGCTGGCAACTTCATAATGCCCATCAACATTGTCAGTCCCAAATATCTGGCCAGCTCTTTTACACTCAATTCATCCCACTTATTGCTTGGGGTGCTAGAAGCATGTAGTTACTTTCTGATGCATAAAAGTTTGTTTCATATACAAAATATTGCAACAAATCTACAACACATCAACAAATCATATAATAAATAACTAAAAGTCCAAGAAGAGTGATTGGTAATGGTACAGTCAAGCCTGGTGTTCTAGTAAAACTTTCTACAAATGGAGTGTTGTCAGTTGACCAGGCTTGACCAGAACGTTGCTGTTTCCTAGGTGCGGTACGGCCACATGAACCTCTGGCGGCATGAGCATCAAAATCATCACTCCCCTCACTTTCAATCTCATCCTCACCTCTGTGTCAATAAACTCACTGCCACATGACTCATAACAGATAATGGCAAGACATTGGCGCAAAGTTTAAAACACGTCCCAAAATGATTGGATAAAAAAAATTTAATTTTAGCAAATTATTAATTTTGGACGTCTGTTATGTCCCTGCCAAACATCCGCAGAGTTAATTTTGGACGCCATATTTGTCTTTCCCGAATGAAAGTGTTAAGTTGTCTTTTGCAAACAGAGTGGTAGAGAGTTGGAACAATTTAAGAAAGTAAGTGTTGGAGTCAAAAACCATCAATAATTTCAAAGTGTTATACGACAAAGAGTACTGGAAAGACGGGACACCATGAGCGTAACTCTCATCCTGTAACTACACTTGTGTAATTACCTCGGTGTAATTACCTAATTTCTTTTTAGAGGTGGGGAAGGATCACATTGTCAGAGGTTTATAATCTTTTCATATAATTTGTAGGATGACTTGTTCTATTTTCACTGTTGGTCTTGACTTGCATTCTAAAGTGAATATTGTGCATAATATAGCATTTTTCTGTAGTGTTTAATTCCAGTATTATTTTTAGGAGCTGAAGCACATAGACTGTTAATTGCAAAACAGCGGGAGGATAAGTCAAGATGCGAAGTTTTGGTGCCTCAGTGTTCCTCAACAAATGAGACTTGGGAGAGTGACATGACAGAATCATACAGTCCTTCAGAATCTTTACTATACAAGGAGATTCCCAGGTATGACACCAATTACATATATACAGCTGCTTACTCTTGCTGACTTGGTGTATTTTTTATAATTACTTGCATATATATTTGTTTATAAGAATTAATCATTCCACTGAGCATCCAGGCTGGAGCCATGGTGGCTAATTAAACCATAACTATGGTTTAATTAGCCATAACTATAACTGGGAGTTCTACTCCCCAAGCCCAGCCCGATGCCAGACTTGGCTTGCGAACGCTTGGTCCAACAGGCTGTTGCTTGGAGCAGCCCACAGGCCCACATCTCCACCACAGCCCGGATGGTCTGGCACTCGTGAAGGAAACTATCTAGTTTTCTCTTGAAGATGTCCAAATTTGTTCCAGCAACATTTCTTAAGCTCGTTGGAAGTAGTCTCCACTCGATCATCCGGACTATATGGGAAGGACCCCCAGCCGGATTAGCACGTTTTTCGGATAATGGTACTTTTTCACCTACGAGTCCAAAACTAACCATTTCCAACTATTTTTATACTACAAATAACATAATTTGAATAGACATGCCACATATAATTATTAAATATTCAACTAGAAACCTCAACTTACCTTTTTGTTGTTCGTCTTCTTGATTGATGACTCATCGTGAAGTTAAAAATTCCTTGACAATTTACGTAACTTATAGTAACACAACACTAAAATTAACACTTAAAATTACTGTACAGTTCATTAGGCAAAGTTAGTTCTCACTGTCTGCTGAGGATGCCTCACTGGTTGAAGGCACTTGGGTTGCGCGTGCCGCCTCACTTGTTGAAGGCGCTTGGTTTGATTTTCGTACCATATATGAATCAAGTGTTGCTTGCCTTCTGTGTTCACTGATCAGTTGTATGATCAGCTCTTTTGTTCGCCTAAGGTACGGATACATGTTTCCAACCTCTGGATGAGCACAATTTGATGAAAAATTTATTAATCCGTCAACATACGTCATGAGTGTACTGTATTTCGTGGTCATTGGTGTTGGTTCTTCACTGCCTTCTTCATCCTCTTCGTCCACCTCACCAGTAACAGACTGTAGAATCTCGTCTTCACTCATCACACCATATCCTGGATCATTGGCATCATGTTCAAGCCAATCAACCACATCCTGTCTTTCTAAGTTTTCGCTGGCATTTCTAAACATTCCATGGATTTCATCTGTAAATCCTTCAAAATCCATTTCTTCATCATTTCTGACCGTAGACGTGAGGAGTTTTTTCCAGGAATTTTTCAAAGTCGATTCCTTTACTTCACTCCATACCTTGGCCCAGTTATAGATGGCTTCCTTGATTGTATAGTTCTTCAAATTCTGAAGTTTTTTTTTAGCCCTGTTATCCACACCGAGTTCAATATCTTCCGGAAGAGGCAAAACCACCAAAACTTCGTTTAGCATTTTTTTGGTGTACAACCTCTTCGTAGCACAGATAACTCCCTGATCCATAGGCTGAATGAGAGAGGTTGTGTTAGGAGGAAGTGCCATACACGTTATCTTGCCATCATGTGAGGTTAACGTGTCAATTCTGGGGTGGGCAGGCGCATTATCAAGCAACAGTAAAGCCCGAACTTCGCTTGGCCTTATTTTGAGTTTCTTAATTTGATAGGCACGAACTTCCCTGCAGAACACGTCATGAAACCAGGAAAGAAAGATCTCCTGTGTAATCCATGCATTTTTTGAGTCATAATATTTCACTGGCAGTCTGTCCATGCAATGTTGCAAGGCTCTTGGTTTCTTAGATTTGCCAACAATTGTACACGTGATTCTGTCTGTGCCGTCGGCATTCGCACACATCATGGCTGAGAGCCTGTCCTTGCAAACCTTACGTCCTGGCACACAACCCTCACTCCTCATTGCTAGAGTTTTTTCTGGTAAACTCCTCCAATACAACCCAGTTTCATTTGCATTATAAATTTGATACGAATAAATATTATTTGCCACAATATATTCTCGTAATTTACGTTTAAATGGTTCTACACTGCTTTCATCTGCACTCAGTTTTTCACCAACAATTTTCCTCTTCACAATATTGTGCCTACCCTTGAACCTTGCACCCCACCCTTCACTCGCTTCGAAATTCTTTATTCCAAGGTTTGCAGCAAACCTGCTTGCAGCATTTTGTATTTCTGGGCCGCGAATTGTCACGCCAGCTGTGCGGTGCTGAGCAAACCACTTATACACAGCCTCATCCAACTGCACATGCGTCGAAGTTTTCATAGTTTTTCTAACAAAACCTCTGCTAGTGCTTGCACCTTCACTTTCACAGGTTGAAATGAATTGCATAAGTTTCTCTTTGTTTCCTTATATCAGAAACAGTACTAGTGCCTATATTATATTCCTTGGCAACACTTGAGGTCGACCGGCCATGTTCACAAAGTTGTATAACACGTAGCTTGTCCTTAAGTGTTAGGACAACCTTCTTCCTCTTTCCACCTCCAGAACGATTCATGCTGCTACCAGACATAGTCTTGGCCAAAAATGTTCAAAGTTACTATGAAAATAAAAAAGTTATTTAAAAAAATATTTCACTAATGGCGCGGCACTGTGGTGTAACACGAGGCTAGAGAGCACATGGCTTGACCAGGCCTGGACGGGTCCAGTCGGGGCAGGGAGGAGGCACGTTACATAGGCCGCCAGGAGGAAAAAAAATATATATTTTTGAAGGAAACTTCAGCCTGTGCAAATTGTTTTTAGGAAACTTGTATGGAATTTTTTATTACATAATTACTAGTATTTCTTTTGATTTTGGCTATGATGAATTGTTCTAAAATTGATAGTAATTACTGTACTGTAGTGTATAGGCCACTCCCCATTCCCCCCTAATCCCCCCAGGTGGTCCCTCCCAATGCTCCCCTCTCTCCCGACACCACCCACCCACCCCACCACCATGCGCCTCGAGTCTCTGGCAGACGGGTTTAATACCGTATGGCCTGCCTCATGCCCGCCTCATGTTTTCATATACGGACAAAGGCACGCTTATCCGGGGGACTGACCGGATAGTGTAATTTCTGCAGAAAACCTGCTTTAATCCGGTCCCTGTGGCTATTTTGGCCGGATATTGTGATAACTTTATCCGTTCACGATTTTGGCCGTATAAGGGCGTTTTTCGGATGTTCGAATCCCGGATAATCACGGGGTTACAGTATGTTGAACGACAGTGGATCTCTGATGTTTATAGTGTTCTCTGACTGTGCCAATGGCACCCTTGCTCTTCACTGGTTCTGTTCTGCAGTTTCTTCCATATTGTTCACTCCAGTATGTTATTTTACTGTGTAGATTTGGGACCTGGCCCTCCAGTATTTTCCTTGTGTTTATTATTTGATAACTCTCTCGTCTCCTTTCTAGGGAGTATATTTGGAGAGTTTTGAGATGATTCCAATAATTCAGTTGCTTTATCATGTCTATGTATGCCGTATATGTTCTCTGTATTCTCTCTTATTTCAGCAATCTCTCCCACCCTGAATGGGGGAAGTGAGTATCGAGCAGTACTCAAGATAGAACAGCGCAAGTGATTTGAATTGTACAGTACAACCATTGTGATGGGATCCGTGGATCTGAAGGTTCTTGTAATCCATCCCATCATTTTTCTGGCTGACGCAATATTTACTTGGCTATGCTCCCTAAACGTTAGGTCATCAGACATCATTATTCCCAGATCCTTTACCTGCTGCCTTCCTACTATGGGCAGATTTGATTGTGTTTTGTACCCTATGTTTTGTTTGTCCTCATTTTTACTGTACCTGAGTACTGGTATTTATCACTATTAACACTTTCGCCCGGGCATGACGCAGCATTGCGTCATCGGTTTACTGTCGGTAATACCGGGGATGACGCAGCATTGGGTCATCCACTTTAAATAATCGCCAAAAATCAGGTTTTTATCCGATTTTTTTGGGACCGGTTTTAAAATGTGCGCCGATGTCTTCCCATTTTCTTTGTTGAGCCTCGTGGCCCTCAGGTGGCTTGGCACATGCCGTGGGCCCATTGTTTTCGCTCCACTGTTGTGACCAATGTCGCCTCCCCTCGCATCTCAAACGTGTGAACATTTCGGCTATTTCCCATGGCAATATTTCTTACTGTGACTTTAGAAACTATCTACCCTTACTCCACGATGGATAGTGATCATGAACAAGGCCCTTCCAGGAAGAAAATTGCGAAAGAAAGGCTTGAAAAGGAAGGGAATTGGGAGTGAGCTGGAAGGCGTCTGAGCGCTCACTCCCGGCTAACGCATGGCCCGTCTTCAACTCGTCGGCGGTTGGAGCATGACCAGGTTTTATATTTTATATGCTAATGTTCCTCTAGAGAATTCTATTGCGAACCCATTAACACCAAAATGAAAGACCTAGGACAAACATTAAGGTGACCAGAGTGAAAATAGTGAAAACATTTTATCGCGTTTGCGCGCTCCTGGGAAACTCGTTCGCACTTTCTCTGTTTGCTGCGGGTAATAAGCCGGGCTTTTGGAGTTTATATGCATTTAGTGCTGTAGAGAAATCTATTGCGAACACAATGATGCCAAATTTAATCTCGTAGGACGAGAATTAAGGTGACAAAGTTGGAGAGTATACACTTTTCAGAATTTACGCGCGCTCCTGTGACACCCTGGGTCCCATATCGCACTATTGAGGGGTGGCGTGCGGGGTGAGCGAAAGTGTTAAACATGTTATTTTCTGCTGCTCAGTCAAAAATGTTATTAATATCTGCATGTAGTTTTTCAATGTCTTCAGTAGAGGTAATTTTCATGATAATTTTTGTCATAGGGAAAAGAAAAGTCGTCTGCAAAAGATGATACGAAGCTGTGACTTGTATTTCTGTGGGGAGCCCCTACGGCTCCCTGGAGCTTATCGGGCTAATGTATGTTATATTAGACCGGGACATTAGCTAAGGAGTTCAGACCTACCAGGGACCAGCGCCAGAACCTGGCCCCTTCAGAGAGGTTTCAGGGAGCAATGGCCCTGGAAAACCCCTTGTGGTTGGGGTTTTCCTTATCTGCCATCGACCGGGGTTA